TAAATTTGTATTAAAATGCAAAAGTTCTTAATTAATATTTGATATGTAACTCTAACCTAATAATATTTTAGTTTATATATTAAATACTATCTAAACAATAGTTTTATGAACTATAGTTCTATTTTTATATCAAGAAAAATATTCATATGACAAAACCATATGTATTCTATATATAGATATTTTATCACTTTGTTATTCATTGTAACGAATTATGCATTTGTTCAATAGTGGAGGACATAGTGTCCTTAATCGACAATGTTACGATGCAACTAACTAGTGGCTTCCATGACCAAACGCTGCAAATGAATGTGGTTACAATGTGTAATCATTTGAAACTTTATGCACATCAACTAGAAGCTATTTACAAAGGTATATTCTTTATGTTCTATTGAATTCCTTGTAATATTACATATATTTAGTATTTTTATTTTTAAATATTATTATTAAATTAATTTAGAAATTAATAGTATATTATTAATTTGTATGAAATATTTGTCGTGTTGAAAATTTAACTACATATTTAAGTTTTTACTATTTCTTTGGATAATATCTTTGCAAAATCAGATCAGCTGGACAGAGCTTTTGTCGCAATAAGGAATGGAAGTCAAGACGAGAAACTAGATCTGACGACTAGGGTTCACTTGTTGGAACTCATAGAACTGCGAGCTAAACAATGGCGTCACACAGACTCTATGGATGTATATTACACTCATAAATTATCGCACCTTGATAATGTACTTGAATTCTCCTTCTTATTTTTAATAATATTCTATTTTTATACTTATTAACTGAAATTATATTTACAGACAGAAGAAACACTTGCAAATCCATTGGCTTCACCTTTGATGGTTGCTTCACCTACTGCTACTTCCATACTTGGTCCTGGTGAAGTAATAAAAAATAGTGGCAAATTTGCAAAGCCTACTCGGATTCCTGGTAAAAATTATTGCAAAGATGAAGTTGTTATACGCAACAGTGATTCTGGTAAAGGTAAATATAATTAATGATATTTTAATATTCATAATAATAATATGACTATAAATTTTATTAACAATTAAAAATTATGAATTATTATGATATATATATATATATATGTATGTATATGTATGAACATTGTATAGAATGTCCGATCATTCTACAGAATGCCTAAAGAGTTTCTGACAATCTATAATATGTGTTTCAGTTGGCTGTGTTTAAAGTATGCGGGGTGGCGAATTTTTAAATTTCCATGGTTTGTTTCATTTACAAGAGCTTAAGATCATTTAGCCGTCCCTACCCATGCTCTAAACACACCCCACTGAAACATATTTTATTGATTGACCGTAACATGTTAATGACATTGTGTATACAGTTTTAAATTTCCATGGTTTGTTTTACTTACACAAGCTTAAAAACATTCCTCCCCACCCCGTGCTCTAAACACAGTCAACTGAAGCATACTTTATAGATTAACTGAAACCCTCTGAGCATTCTATAGAATTCCCAGGTCAATTTATGCAATGCCCGGAATATGTACATTGACCGTAATATGTATACAGGATGTTTCAGGTTTTAACGGTCCAATTTTGTCAGTATATTATATAGGCCTGTGTAAAAAAAATGTTACCTAAATATAGATTGTTTAAAGCTTTATTAAAAATTTATGATCAAAATAAGAATTTTGTAGAGAATAGTATAGTAACATTAAACAAAATTTACATTTAATCTGTTTGTGTGAGCAGTGTTTACCATTTAAGGTCAAAGGTACCATAATACTTTTAGCACACTTAGAAATAACTAATAGTCCATTTAGAATATACTGGCAAAATTTGGCCGTTAAAATCTGGAATACCCTGTATTATAAGGAAATATGATTATGTGTTTCCAATACGTGTTAGTATATGAGTATAATATGCTACCCCTATTTAAAAAACGATCTTTTCTGGGGATATGATTTTTTATTTTTAGTTTAAAAAAAACATTATATATATACTTATTTAGTTTAAATATCACATGCTACATATTTACTTTGCTTATTTTATTATAATTTTTAATAAAGTAGTTGCATTTTAAATAATTTCGTGCAGTTTATATATGTTTTCCATCGATTTTTAAACTATGTACGTAAAAATACAGTGATGGGAATAAAAGGGCGTCGTGTTCACATGATCGAAGAACTGAGCCAGACGATCATCTCCTTCCAGCGAGGTAAAGCTATGATCTGCGATTTGCTTATCAGCATTCTGCTCGTGCATTATGAAAATAATACTTGACGATTCAAATAATACCTAATTCCTTATCATATCCTAATATTCTAACATTTGTGAGTTTAATCACATGTTTCTAGATTGCAATTATGAATAATTCAATTCTAATGTCTTACAAACAATTTGACAATTACTAATTTATTTTTAATGGCAAGCATACTACATGCATCATGTACTAAGAACCATCGCAATTTTACAAATGATTATACGAAACAGACATGCATATTTTTGATAATATCAGGTACTCCATGTAGCTACATAATATTTGTTTTAATCTAGAGATTATAAGGGGTTTTAATTGCTCTTATTTATCATTTATAAATTTTCTTTTAGATTTATTACGACGTTATATAAAGTGATTTTTTAGTTTTGATGTGATTATTTTAAGTATATATATAATATATATATAGT